AAAGTTGGCGCCGAACTCTTGCAATAAAGGCAAAGAATCACGAGACCGGAAGCCGGAAACCGTTCGGAGAAATAAAGATCGGCACTATTTCTCCGAACGTTCGGAGAAATAGTCACTTCGTATTGGAAATGGAATAATGGAAGCTTTAATTGGTCAAAAATTGGACACAACCATGTGAACATCTCCTAGAAGGATAAAAATGTCCTTCCTTTATAACATGCTACAATTTGTTTCTTCTACTGTTTGGCTTATTTTGATAGAATGCGGTGAATTCAAAGATACGCTTATACCAATATTTTATATTTTAAAAGCTCCAACAGGAAGTCATTGTTAATATTATTGACCCAGGAAAGATCTTTGTTTTGCAAAAATTTAGTCTACAAGAAATGCGTAGTATCAAAGTTGTAAAAAAGTGAACATTTTTAACTCATAATTTTTCAGACAGATTTTTTAAAATGTTTGTCCATCTTTTTAATCAGTAGTTGATGTTTGGAAAACCTGTATGTGGCTAATACATGAACAGATTTTCTCAATAGCGATATAGAACATAATACTCAATCAAAAACCAATATGGGGGCTCTCGTGACCTAGAGGTTAGGGTGTTGGCCGCTCATTCGAAGGTCCCGGGTTCGAGTCCGGGTAGCGGCCAAAAAATTTATCCTCTAAAATTGTCTCGTTTCACCTCATTGCCTGCTCTCTAGCAATGTTCTATCGTCTGCTTTCGTTTCCTCTTTCTGCCCCCACCCCCTCACCTCCTTTGCCCCCTCCTCTGGGCTTCTGACTCTTTCTGCAGCCTTTCTACTGCTTCTCCCTGGCTCCTTCTTACTGCTGTCTTTCAGCCACACCCCTGATCTTCTGGTAAGAAAGATTTGCACCTAGCCTACTCGGACAAGGGCGAAAAATCTTGGAGGGTCCGTGTGCAAGTTGCGCACGTTAAAGATCCCTTGGTAGTTCACAATCGATAAGAGTAGGCTTTGACCGCCACCCGGGCAAATTTCAAAATTTCCTACCAACTGAAAAAGTTTAATGTGTCCCGCGTGCTCATATAACCTTATGCAGTTATGAGTGACGTAAAACACTTTAAAAAAAACAACCCAAAAACCCACCCCCAAAACCCCCAATGTATTGCCTTTTGTTATTGTCGATGGGTGGGGGGTGTCAATGACAGAACCTTCTCGTTTCCTTTCCCCTGTAGTTTGTGCCTGTCTGTCGTATTTTTTCCCTACATTTTGATAATTGTTATTGCCTTGGATGTGCTTTTCTTTACTTAAACTGTAAAGTTTAATTAATAACTAATTTGACTTTAAATTTATTTTTGACAGAAAGCCAGCACCCACATGAGAAGCCAACAGCTGACAGTCACCCAAGAAGCTAACACCCTGCCCAGACAGCACGGATCTTCCACGCACTCTTAGACAACCAGCCAGACGAATATACTGCCGCAGCTACCCTGAAATGGACTTCTGTCAGTTACACCAGCGAACGATAACTGGCAACTTTAACAGCTGACTGTGCGCTTTGATTTCTCAAGCTTGTGTGAAATTGTGCGGATAGGGCTGTAAAAACATGGACTCAACGACAGAAACATTCTTTGTATGATGTACTGTTTCAGATATTGTACAGAAGCTGCTTCACATGAGATCACTGAACTAGAAAGATGACGAGACAATTATACCCCTTTCCTTCAGTTCAGAGTTTGGTGGCATCAGACGGTTTGTTCACTGTTCTGGTCCAAAAAGTATCAAAGTGGTCTGCTTCTACGATTTCCGTATATCACACTCAGGCTTGAAGTGACGCAGTGGGGCTGTAGAGATAGGCAAATAGGTTGATAGGGAGCTAGGTGAATAGGCTAGGTTCAGAGTAGGATTTTGTAGATATTGCCATGGCCATGACGGGAGGCAGTTGAGGGGGCAGTGTAGGTTTTTCTTTTTTGGGGGGGAAGTTGGGGGGGGGGGGGGAGGTTGCAGGGGTAGCATGGTGTGGGTAGAGCTTCCTGCTGATTTTGAGTTTGAGTGTGATGATGTTGGAGTGGGGTGTATACTGGAATGTTCCGTAAGGACCACCTGGACGACCAAGAGGAGCACCCGCAGACAGGACATCTACAGGAGGTATTAGTCTGGGAAATATGTCTCGGTGTTCATTATTATAGTTTTTCGAGTTAAAGGTAAAAGTTTTATTAGTGCATTTAGGTGGAAAGAGAAAATGATAAAATGTATTTTTACTGGAACGTTTTTACTAATGACCATCTGTCCTTTTAAACTAGTGGTAAACAATATTATAACGATTTTTTAAATATTTTGAAACAATGCAAATTGTATAGACGTAAGACGATTGTATTAATTGACAAATGATGAAACATAATTATTTTTTTTGACAAATTTTTAAAAATGTCTTTGATGCTTTTTAAACCAGTAGCAAAAATATTTTAGCGACAGTTTATTTTTTCAAAAAAAAGAATACAAACTGTATGTATAAATGTAAGACGATTTTATTAATTGACACGTCTTCATCACCAGGACCAGCCGCGGACAGGAAGACCAGCCGGAGGAGCATCCACAGACAGGAGCATCTACAGGAGGTATTTGTGTGGGAAATATGTCTTGGAACACTATTTCTTAATCATTAAAGTAAAATTAGAAAAATAACTATTGGTTTGGTTATTTCAAGGTGAAAGACTTGTTTTCGCATTTTGGGTGAAAAAGAAAAATAATAAAACATATCTCCTGACCCGTTTTTATTTATGTCTTTTCTGGCCTTTTAACTCTTTAACATGCAATTTAAAATCACGTTTCCGCGTAATTCTCTCGTGTTTGTGGAAATGCGACCCGACATACTACGTTTATAAAACCACATGTTTCGAGTCAAACTCATCAATAAAGCATTACGCAGATGTAGAATTCATTTACCTTTGACTTCCGGGTCAAACTAAAGGCTTGCTAGCTCATACTTTTTTATATTCGGCTCGTACCATAATACAATAATGACTTCGCATCGGTCCAGTCATTGTTAAGAACCTCGATTGCCGGATGCTGCCACTGTCCAAACAAAGTTAGAGTTAAACCAGTAGTAAAAATATTATATCCCCTCTTGTATATTCTGAAACAAAAATACAAACTGTATAGATACAATACGATTGTATTAATTGACACGTCTTCATCACCAGGACCAGCCACGGACAGGAGGACCAGCCGGAGGAGCACCCACAGACAGGAGCATCTACAGGAGGTATTTGTCGCGAAAATATGTCTTGGAACACTATTTGTTAATTTATAATTAAAGCAAAATTTTAAAAATATTTCTCGTTTTTATTAGAGTTGGGACGAGCGGATGGACGGGTTCGTTACTCGCGGACTCAGTCAGAGTGAGCGGGTAACGGACGGCCATGCGAGTGGACTGCGAACCTCAAGACAGTTCTTTTTTTGGGTCCACTCCACAATTTTACTCTCTCAGCGAGCAGACTGCGGACCTCAAATCAGTTCTTTTTTTTTGGGTCCGCTCCACAATTTATTTCACTTAACGGGCGGGTGAACGGACTAATTCTAGCACACGACATACTCGACTCGATGTCAGGCCCGCCGTCTATTGTTTGTTAGTTAGGCATAGTGTTTCAAGCCACTAGCGGTGCCACAGGTAGTGGGAGAGACTGGTGACGTAGTACTATGTATGTAACCTTTAACCTCGTGTGTGGCTCGCTCTGTGTATGTTCCAATTTAACCTGAAGGCGAAGTTAAAAAATTTGGGTCGATAGTGCCGTAAAACACCTACTCAGTCAATCAAAAGAGAATTCCCAAAGGCCTTTTTATGGGGGTGGGGGAGAGGAAAGCAATTTCCAGCATGAACACCTAGCTACAATGTGGGGCAGGAGGGTGAATTTTTTACGAGGGGGGCAGGGTGTAAATAGTAAGACGATTTTATTAATTGACACGTCTTCATCAGCAGGACCAGCCACGGACCGGAGGACCAGCCGGAGGAGCACCCACAGACAGGAGCATCTACAGGAGGTATTTGTCTCTGGGAAATATGTCTTGGAACATTATGGATCAATTACTTACTTTACTTTTTCATCCTCTGTTGCCATTATGCATAGAGGGGAGATGCGGTATTCTATGGTAGGCCAGCTCCGCAGCTCTTTCAGTTCGGACAGGCGCAGGCTACTATGATTCATCAGGGCTTCCTTGACAACTTCAATCCACCCTTTGTGTGGCCTTCCTCTTCCTTTATAGCTTGAGTGCTTGGTGTTATAGGTTCTCAAGGCTGGCTGGCTAGGTAACATATGTAACAGGTGGCCGAACCATTTTGTTCTGTCTTTCTATGAAATGCAGTCAGATGTCCCAGTCCAAATAACATAATGTAATCAAACATTGAAATGAAGTTAGAAAAATACATTTATTAAAAAAAAATAATTTTAAAACAATTTTCAAGCTGTAAGGCTTTTAGTTGCATTTCGCTGAAAAGGAAAAACATATTTACTTACAGATGTTTATTAATGCCCTTTTAAACCAGTAGTAAAAATATATAAACTCTTTATTTTCTGAAACAAAAATGGAAACTGTAGAGACACAAGACAATTGTATTGACTCGTCTTCGTCACCAGGACCAGCCGCGGACAGGTGGACCAGCCGGAGGAGCACCCACAGACAGGAGCATCTACAGAAGGTATTTGTCTGGGAAATATGTCTTGGAACATTATTTGGTAATAGTCGAACCTGTGTTATACGGGGTGCTCACTACGGACGTGATCGGCCGATCGGGCCGATCGCCCGACATGATTGCCTCAAAACAAACGTGTTTGTTTTCAGTTTCAGGCGATCGAATCGGGAGATCGGCCCGATCCAGCTGTCGTGGGCACCCCGTATAAGACGGCCACCCATTGTCGAGGAGAAAAGTGGCTGTATAAGACAGGTGGTGTCTTGGGCAGGACTGATCAAGATGAAGAAAACAAACCATTTCTTTCTGAGGTCTCTCGAAAGTAGCTGCGTTGTTGTTGTTGTTGTTATGTTGTTGTTGTTATTGATGTTGCTGTTGTTTTTGGTGGGGGGGGGGGGGGTTCTTTCTCTTTTTTTTCCCTTTGTTGCTGGTTTTGTGCGAGGGCGACAATGAAAGGAAAAGTGTGAGACAAGGAGGACCAAGTGCTATGGTAAAACAAACACATGGGTCGCCACCACGAGGAGAATAAGCGACGCTTCTGTCACACATTCATGTTGACGTCCATTGTTACTTTGTTACAGACTGGGTAAACAGTGACCACTCATCTCACAATTTTTGTATGTGTTTTGGGCGGGGCTTATGGGTTATGAGGGATCACACGCTAACCTCACCAGCAAATGAAAATTTGTTACCTATTGGTCAACAGTGGGAGGGGGCCTACGCAACATGATCGGCTGGAGTTGGAGGGACATTAACAACAACAACGACAGGTGATTTAATTATGACGGTTCCCCCCACAACGCCAGTGCACAATTTATGACAAAACGTAAGAGTCACAAAGGTGGCCGTCTAAGACAGGTTTTGTTGTTTGGTGTGATAGAGTTGTGTGTTAAAATATGTGGCCACGGCCGCGTCGGACAGGTGCCTGTTTTACAGTTAAATTATATCGAAAAAAACCGCAAGGGGGGAAATGGAAAGTGGCCGTTTGTACATGTAGCCGTCTTATAGAGGTGACCGTTAGGGCAGGTTCGACTATATTTGGTAATTAACTCTTTAAGTAAAATTAGAAAAACACCTATTGGTTTTTCTGATTACAAGTACAAGGTGAACATTTAAAAAAAATGTTTAGGTGAAAAAAGGAAAAAGATGAAACATATTTTTTGGACAAATATTTTAAAATGTCTTTGATGTTTTTAAACCGGTAGCAAAAATATTTTATCAACAATTTATTTTTCGCAAAAAGAATACAAACGGTATGTATAGATGTAAGACGATTGTATTAATTGACATGTCTTCATCACCAGGACCAGCCGCCGGATGACCACCCACAGACAACACGATTTCCGTATCTCACACTCAGGCTTTAAGTGATTCAGTGGGGGCTGTAGAGATAGGCAGATAGGTTGATAGGGAGCTAGGTGAATAGGCTAGGTTCAGAGTAGGATTTTGTAGATATTGCCATGGCCATGGCGGGAGGTAGTTGAGGGGGCAGTGTAGGTTTTTCTTTGGGGGGGTGAATGGTGGGGAAGGTTGCAGGGGTAGAATGGTGTGGGTAGAGCTTCCTGCTGATTTTGAGTTTGAGTGTGATGATGTTGGAGTGGTGTGTATACTGGATTGTTCCCGCACCACCTGGACGACCAAGAGGAGCACCCGCAGACAGGACATCTACAGGAGGTATTAGTCTGGGAACTATGTCTTTTTTGTTTGCTTTGTTTCAGTAGATGTTTTAAGGCGCTCGCAACTGCTTAAGGTCATATGAGCGCCAAGGGGTGGATGTCAACAAAGAAGTCCTTACAGGGAATCAGACTTTCTCTGCCCACCTCTCTAGCTTCAACAGCACAAAGTCTGCTTTATCAAGGCACCCCTGAAATAGTGGGTCACAAGAGTTGGACCGACATACAAAAGAACTAGAGAAAATGACGATAGTAGGGATTGGGAAAGAAAAAGCAGCAGTTCCCTCTTGCAGTCCAGGCACAGTTATGAGCATGACATTGAAGAATCAGCTGATTTACAATTACAATTCTACTATTCATAGGAACATGGTTTATGTACCCCCTTTGGGAATGGCCTAAAGACACTTCAGTCAGTAGCACCACCCTGGGAGGTGAACTCTGTCTTGGAATTGGAACATTATTTGATCATAATTACAGGGGTTTTTTTTGTTAAAGGTAAACGTTTTATTGCTGCATTTAGGTGAAAAGGGAGAATGATTAAATGTAATTACTGAAAATTTTGTATTAATGACCTTCTGTCCTTTTAAACTGGTGGACAATATTATAACCGCTCTTTTTATATTTTGAAACAAAAATGTAAACTGTAGACGTAAGACAATTGTATTAGTTGACTCGTCTTCATCACCAGGACCAGCCGCAGACAGGAGGACCAGCCGGAGGAGCACCCACAGACAGGAGCATCTACAGGAGGTATTTGTCTGGGAAATATGTCTTGGAACATTATTTATTAATTGTTGAAGTAAAATTAGAAAAATTGCTGGTGGAGCTTTTTTTTCAATTTCAAAGTAAAAATTAAAAAAAGATTATGTGAAAAGGTAATATAATAAAACGTATGCCGGTATACTGACAGGTATTTATAACTGTTATTAT